ATATATATATATATATTAACAAAGGCTGCACTGCTGGCCATCATGCCCGCATTGAACTTTACAGCTCCAGGTTATCTCATGGTAAATGTTGAAGTCCCCTTTTGCATTTCAAATCACCAAAACACTGTATATTAATTGAGTTGTTTTCTAATTAGGAATCAAATAGCTGGCCTTCCTTCTTATAGCAGATTTAAATGAACACTGCCATTCTGGATCTTAATCTACTGCCTCGTGTTGTTTCTTTTCTCTCTCTGAGACTACAGCGCGAGCCCAACAAGGTGATAAATTGATGCCGCTTTGCCATCAGACAAGATGCCGCATTACATAACACCCATCATTGGTTTGGTTTTTCATTGGAGGCTCTGCTTTGAATCAATAAAATTTAATTAGGATTACTTTCGTAAAGCGACCATATTGAGAAAATGAAATTGACCTAAAAGATTAAACTGGCATGCAATGCACTTATACTGTATGTATTTCAATTGAAACATCAATATGTTCTTCTTTTCTGAGCATCTTGAGCTGAGAGATTTTTGAGATACTCTGAAACACTCAGCTGATTAAACTACACTGCCGAAACCTTATGACAATGTAAAGAGATGAGCACTGTATTATGTGATAGCCCAAAAAATGAAAATCCACAAGATATTTCTATATTGTAATTTTGTCTTCAGGTAGTGTTAGAATGCAATATTGTACCTATTATTCAGTTATTCAGATTTGTCCAACACATTGCACAATGATACATTACAGCAGCAATTAGAAGTGGGTGCCAGTGACAATGATAAATGATGTTAGGTAACGTGGGAACTTGGTTTCAAACAGGCCTCATTCTCCACTCGGCTCTATAGGCTCTAGAAAAAAACCAGACATCACAAACTGCCATGCTGCCAAACATTGTTCAAACCCACACAAGTTTATGTTACATTCTTGAGGAGATTGCAAAGATTCCAAAGAAACCAAATGCGTCAGGCTGAATTTGGGAGAAATGTTTATAAAATGATGCACAATTTGTTTGAATGGTGCAGACATAGGAAAAAACAAAACACATGGGTTGTTGGGTTGAGTGCATATTTCATTCAGTGTAAACACCACAAGTTCAATGAGAAGCTGGATACTGCCAGGCAGTGAGAAATAAGTTGTTTTCAACAACTCTAAAGTTACTTTAGATTAAATAAAGGGGGGCAACATATGTAAGCATTTTGCTGATATATCTCTGCTACCAGAGGTCAAGGATGGTCAACTTTGTCTATTCAGCAGTGACCCTGCAGCCTGGCCTCCTTATCTGTCCATCCGAGTTGCTTGATAAGTTGCGGGACTGGAATCGTGCTACATGTATCACCAGCTCTATGATCACTGGTGGGATCATAGACAAAATATAATCATTATTTTAACTTTCTACTACAAAAAGCACCGTCATTTGCTTCTTATTAGAGCCGCAGTGTGTAATGCCTGGCCACATTCTCCAAACAGATAGATAGAGGTTAGCGTTTCCCCTCTACTACTGTGTCAATACAATCTAGGTTTACAGATATCAGCTATTAAAAGGAAAACAAAGCCAACGTCTATATAATATTAGTGTTAGCATGCTCGTATCAGGAGATATATCTGCAACACAAAACATAGATATCTTTGAAAAATAACAGCAACACTCTGTGTCCTCTTAATTTTCTGTTCATAATGTTACTTCACTTTTTTAAATGTTTTGAACTAAAATACTGGTCTGATCTTACACATTGCACCTTTAAACACTGTTTTTAAATCAATCGCCATGTCCAAAGCCCAAAACTTTTTCATAAAGTGGTCATATTCCCCTCTCTCCTCCACAAGTGTTCATAAGACCTCTCCTCAGAGCAATGTGGGCGTGTCCATACATCAGCCCTCCCTTCAGTTGGTTTAGTGCTATCTGTAAGCGCACTACAACTGCATAATTAGTACCACTAGTTTGATGACATCTCATTCCCAGCACAGAGGTCTAATCAGGCAGGGTAATTGAGAGCACCTGTGTGGGAGTACAGGGCTTTTCATTTTCTAAATAACCGGTAACTCCAACTGTCAAAAAAAGCGGAGTAACAATTACAATGAATGCAATACCTCTGAAATGTAGTGAAGTAGATAGAAGGTACAACTACCTAAAAAGTACAGTACTTGAGTAAATGCCCTATATTTTACAGATGGCTGCTGTAAAAGTTATACATTGATATGTTGCTTTACCACCTGTCAGCCTACCTTGAAAGTACAGAGTTTATCCAACAGACACCACTCATCACATCGTATTAGATAGTGTAGCGGACTGCTTTGCGGACATACTTTACACAGATGAGGACAAAACAGGACCTGAAGTTAAGTGAGATCGCCGTCACTTTAACGTCTAAGTTGATCACTTAAAGGGGAACTCCTTTGCTAAAATTTTCTACGATTACAATTTTGCACAGCAAAGTCTGTTTCCAGGTGTTGGGGAGTACTAGTAACTACTGCATGTGAAAAAAGGTTGTACAAAGCCGCTTCTTGTGTAGTATGTTGTAATAAAACACACCCAAACTTCCAACCAAACTATCAGAAGTTGAGTTGCATTGTGGGTAACATACCTCTTGACAAGGCTGGAGAATGTGTGGAGTTAAAAAATATTTTTTTTTGAACTGTCCATCACAAATAAAGGAAATGCAGGGAATTCCTCTGCTGCCATGATATAAAACAGCAACTTCGTCAGTAGTTAGTGAATTTATCGAAACATTTCCGTAGGCTTGATTCTCAGTCATTCATGATTAATTCCCAGGATCATTTTCTGACAATGCGTTAGGCCAGATGCTGTTGTCATGACCAGTGCGGCCTTTAATACTGTCTGTTAGTAATGTTTGGGTTCTGGGAATTTATGCAAAGAAGCTCCATATGTCTTTGCAGCATTTGATGCTCTACCCCCTCAGTCTAAGTCTCAAGGCGGTCTGTCTGCCAGGCGTCTCATCCTTTGGTGACAAGACATGAGAGAAAGAATGTAACAATAGAGAGAAAGCAGTGCTTTACCTTGGTAAACAGATGCAACAGGTGGAACAAAATAACAGGGTTTTCCAAGTTGGTTGTTGTAATATCCTGTATTGGCACTCTTGAGTAAAAACCACAATGAAATCGTATTTATTTATACACAGATTAGATTTTGTCATACATTCTTGCAGGGAAATTAGACTTCAGATAGCAGTAGATTATCAAAGGCTTTGTTCTGACACCATGTTGTGCTGCTACTGTAGCTTGCAAGAGCATGAAATTGCATGACACCATAATATCAAAACGTATGGTAATTATTCTACGCCTTAAACATGGAAAAGAACATAATGTTTCAGCTTGTTTTAGTTTGGAGCATAAAGAAATTGAATGTGGTTACAATGCTAAAAGAAAAAAAACACTTTTCTTTGTGCAGTTTTTCAGTGCAGCCACAGTCGTTACCCACAAATAGATCCTTGTCCATGTTAGGGTGCTTTCAAACCTGTAGTTCAGTTCATTTGGTTCGGACCGAGAGGATAAATCATACATTGCTTCGGTTTAGATCTGGTCTGGTTCCTGTTCGCATTGCGTTTTTACAAGGGCACCAAGAGGAGTAAACACCAAGTGCACTTTAATGCTTCTGATGTGTATATTTATGTGCTTTGGTGTCACAAACAGCTCACGAAAAAAATAAGTGATTACAAGCATTATTTGTATTATTAGACTACCAATTGACATTTGCATTTCATGGCTATCGGCTAACAGGTAGAGGACAGGACTGTGCAAAAGCCCCTTTGCATGCTCTCAGATGACTGATGCGAAAATACATGCGCTTGTAATGCGTATACGTCTTGATGTGCATGAATAAGGTACATACATGGCCTTATACCGATCAATTATAAGACAGCTTCCTGAACACATTCCACAATCAGCAGATGAATGTATTAGTAGATGAGCTCTTGAAATCATGCTGAAATCACATATTTGCTGTCAGACGAACCAAACTAGACTCCTCCTAGAAGCGGTTCTAGACTCACCTTTTCAAGCAGTCTTGATCGGTTGCCGGTCCTCACCAGGGTTTGATTGACAGCTTTCATATTTGCTCAAAGGAACCGTTCTAACAGACCTCAGTTTGTTTTGGCCGAATCAATAAGGTTAGGTGTGAAAGCACCCTTAAGCTAGTAGTCTGGAGTTGACACAAAAAATGAAGTCAAATTGTCGCGACGGCAATGAGTCATCTGACTAATTACAGCACAAGTCCAACAAAGAAATGATCAATACCCGTTTAAGCAACAGCTCAAACATCCTTCCCCAAAGGTAGTCAGTATTGTTATTTTTGTGCTGTGGCACAAATATCTTGTTTCCCCTTTAAAATTGGACAAATTTAAGAGTGAAAGCAGACTGTTTATTTCTTTCATCTCAGTTTCATTAGTTCAAACCTCAGAGGACAGTCTGCTCATTGTCACCTTTTTCTCATTATGGCCAAACCAAAGCAATCAGTGAGTGAAAATCGTCTGTCTCACTTCACTGCCCTGTCTCTTCTGCAGGTTATTGAGTGCATAACCCAGGGCCGGGTTCTGGACAGGCCACGGATTTGTCCTAAAGAGGTATACGACATCATGCTGGGCTGCTGGCAGAGGGAACCGCAGCAGCGACTGAACATTAAGGACATTCAGAAGGTCCTGTTCGCCATGGGGAAAGCCACGCCGGTCTACCTGGACATCCTGGGCTAGCAGCGGCCCGGGGTGGCCCCGTTCCTCGCCAGACGAACAGAGACATACATATAGACGGACCCACGCGAATCCAGGAATAACCAAACCAACCTACTCCACTGTCGAAAAACACCTACAATGTTTGGGAAGGACTTAAGTGCCTGCAACACTTTTGGATATAGTGGATATAACATATTCAAAAAAACACGCACTTTTACATTTTGTTTACTTGCATATAAGATGTACAGGTTTGAAGAAGACTTTTTTTTTTTTTTTTTTTTTTTTTTCAAAACTGCAAAAATACACAAAAATGGAGACAAAAAGGGAAGTAAAGTGGACTGACATTAGGAAAATGACCACAGTTTGATTATATTATGGAGAGAACACATCAGAGTTAAAATCTATCCTGGGTTTGGTTTTATGAATATATATAGAAATATTACATATATTTTATATTTATTTCTTTTTGTCAAGATGTTGAAGGGGTCTGCCATTTGTGTTGCGAAGGGCTCGGCCCTGTTTAAAGACGTCACCAACAAACTATTGGCAGGGACTTGACAATGGTAGCCTTACTTGCGCTCTGATTGGCTGGCACTGAGCTCTTAATGGGAACTCTGCTTCTGCGGAATAACACTGGATGGTTGAAATTAGAGGAGTGCGCTGTAGAGGGCCTACCCAATCAGACAACCGAAAAATCTATTTTAATTTAAAAAAAAAAAAAAAAAAATGTACATATTGTAAACTTCTGTGTCAAAATTATGTTAACTTATTTTTTGGGGTGTTATTTTGGTTCCTTTTCTGACTGTGATCTGGGTGGCTAAAGTATAAAACTATGGTATTTGTTTTCATCCTAATCTAGAGGAGGTTTTCTCTTGGGAATCACCTGTATCAGTGCTGGTAAGTTGTCTTATGTGGTGAAGGTGAACAACGGTGAATACAGTTCGAAAAGTCAGCTGGCACCGAATCACAGTGACTGTGGAGAACGGGGGACGCCATCAACACAACACTTTTCCAAAGAGGTGATGAAGCCTCATATTCACTTTCCAGCTCATTTGCTTTTTTATGGCAAGAATAATGCGTTGCTGCGTAATATCTTACACCACACCCCTCAAACATGTACATGCGCTTTGAGAAACTTTCGGGAACATTTTCGTGTGAAACTGCTTTTCCACTCTAAAGAAAACATTTTTGTAAGGGGAAATAAGAATCATTTGTTAGATGCAAGTGTGTCCCTCGCATACACAGCCTAAGAAAATCAAAGGAATAGTGAGATATTTTGGAAAATGCGCTTATTCCCTTCCAGGTGAGAGTAAGTTGAGGAGATAGAAAACACTCTCGTATCTGTCAGATCCATGGGAAGCTGCAGCCATGATACAGTTAGCTTAGCTTAGCTTCGGCAGATGCAGACTGGAAACAGGGAAATAGCCTCGCTCTATCTAAAGGAAACTAAATCAACCGACCAGCACCTCTAAAGCTAACCTAACACTGTTAGCCAAGCTAACCGGCTGTCGGACGCAGCTTCATATTTACTGTACAGACACAAGAGTGGTATTGACACCCAAGAAAGCAAATGAGAGCATTTCCCCAAATGCCAAACTGTTACCATAAGGATCCTGTCACTTCACAAGCCGAGAAAAGAAACGCGACGGCTTCTTCCCTCGCATTCCGTTTAGCACAACACAATAAAAACAACCTAATTTTACTGTTCTGATTTGTTTTCATCAACTGTACATGACTCACAGCATTTCTTTTCTTCCTCGCACTCGAGGCCTTTGCATGTTTAGCAATGATGAGGTTTCGCACCCGTCTATTGCTTTGATAAAAAACCTCTTCTGCTCCAACCAGAGGGGAGCCACTGAAGCAGGTAGATACTTGTGTTCATTTATGGATGGTACATCAAAAATAATAATCACTGAAGTGGATCAGCTAACTGTTTGGTATTTCTCGTTCCATATTTTGATTATTGCAGTATTTAGAGGGCTGGAAATCATGAAGAGTTTTGTTCCAAAAATATTGCAGAAAAAACATGATCCCCAAAAAGCTTAACAGCAAATAAAGAGAGAACTAAAACCAAATGAAATTACTTTTCATTACTCGTTCGTAATTAAGTGCTCAAAATGATTTCATTGTTACAGAGTGGATGCTGTAGATTTCTCACACACTGAATGATAACCCTCAGGCAATGATTTTATTTTATGTTGTATCTGGATATAAAGCATTTTGGAGTGGAACTCTTCACATCACTTCCTTATTATCCTGACATGAATTCTCACAGAATCACAGTGTTGTCTCTCTTCCCCTTGGGACTATGTAAATCATTAATGAGCATCCAGTTGTTTCAAGTATTTTATATGAAAGGCAGGATCAAATCCAACGAGTTACCCAAAGCTTTGAGTTTGTGTGTATTCTCTTGTGGTAAAGATAAACGCTTAAAGACATCATGACACAGACCGTGAGCATTTGCAGGGTATTGTAATCCTTTCATAGTGAGTTGAATATTGTTTTAAAATGTTTTTTTTGTTTTTGTTTTTCTTGGATGAACTAACTGAACACTTTTTAAAGCAAAGTTGGCATATGTACACATGTTACAGAATATAAAAATGTGGTATAACAACTGCAGTATATACACAATACTGGTATTCCATGATAGATCTTTGTATTAATGTGACTCTCTTAAGAAAATGTCTTCAAACAATCAGACGATCTCCTTTTCCATTTTGTCCTGTCTTATAAAGATGTGTAAATTTGACAAAATCTTGTCTTCAATCTAAATCTCACAGCACGTGTTTCAGTGAACATTCTGCGTTATCTGCTGTTCCTCCATCCACTTCTGAAGTGACAGAAACATGTCTGTACGGGACGGCTGTGGTTCAGGAGGTGGACCAGGTTGTCTACAGCACTAATCACTGGGACGGGGGTTCGATCCTTGGCTCCTGCGGTCCACGTTTCAAAGTGTGCTCGCAGGTCAGCGCCTTGCATGGCAGCTGTGTGGCCAAATCAATATTTGTCAACACAAGTTTCTTTTTGCTTTTCTTTATTTTCTGGTTAGGGTTGATCAATCCGAACACAATAGTCAAAAGTCCGTAAATTAGCTTCGAAAATCCTAAAAAAAAAAGATGTTCCCCATAACTTCAAAATCTTCATTTATGCGTATAAAGATATCAACAGGAACTTCTAGTAACTAATGTCTTTTTATAGTGCAGAATCACCAAAATGTAAACAAATATGCAGCCTGAAAGGGTGACTAGATCAGACCCTGCTAGGGGCTGAAAAAAACAACTACTGTGTTTTCGAATATCTGGTAAGGATAAATGTTTTTAACCATTTTTTTTTTTACTTTCTATAATTATAATTTTAATATTCTAACACGCTTGAATCAAACACCAGTTAAAAATAAGATATTAGAGTACAGTGTACTTTGTTGTAAAAAGGCAAATACAACATTATCTGTCATTAGGGATCAGGTCTCTGTCAAGAAAAAGGATTGATTATGATTGTCTTCTTAAAAGTTATCACAATAATTTGATATGTTTTGTTTGTTTCACCACTTGCTAGGCAAACAGTAGAATTGGCAAAATGCTACTTTTTTACATGCTACAAGATGATCTACCTGGAAAAGCCCAGCTTCATATCCATGATTGGCCAGCTTGGTGCATTTTAAGAAGAGGCCAGAATGTTCCACAGCAAAGGTTGAACCAGGACAACCCTCTTTTGGAATCCTCCCAATGAGGTGCATAACCCATTAAATAACTTTGTTTTCTTTTTTTTTTGTCATTTTTGGGGGGGGGGGGGGGGTTTGTTGTGTTTTTTTTCTTGTTTAATTATGTAATGCTTTCCAAATGTGTTTGGGGGGGTTTTAAGTAAAGGCTGAGATGAAAGACAGCAACCCACAGACCCTCTTTGACAACCCTATTTTTTTTTTTTTTTTTTTTTAAATGTGCCCTTATTGGACAACTGATCATATACAGACAGACAAGAAATTAAAAGAGAGGGAGAGCAACAAAGCTGGACTCAAACCAGAGACGTTGCAGTAAAATACCATTTACCCTTAGAATGTCCATCCATCCATCCATTTTCCTCCTCTTATCCGGGGTCGGGTCGTGGTGGCAGCAAGCCAAGCAAGCTGACCCAGACTTTCCTGTCCCCGGCAACATGTTCTAGCTTATTCTGGGGGATCCCGAGGCGTTCCCAGGCCAACTGGGAGATGTAATCCCTCCAGCGTGTCCTGGGTCTTCCCCGTTCTCCTCCCAGTTGGGCGTGCCGGGAAAACAGTGGGAGGCACCCAGGAGGCATCCCGATTAGATGCCCGAACCACTGCTAATTTGAGTAATGTCCAACAACTCAAATTACTGTACTTCATATTAAACCACACAACCATGCTGCACCTATAGGTATGAATATACTGTATGTTCATATGTGTTCAGTTTTTTACATAACATACATAATCCATCACAGTGAAATGTATACAACTTCACCGTCTGATGATGCAGAAAAAGAAACACAAGCTTTATGGTTGCTACATACTTTTAAGCTTCGTTGGTGGGTCCACATGTTAAATGAGTCATTCCATTATTGTTTGTCTTCTTACAAACACCGGAAAAATGGAAACACAGTCAGGGCCAAGGGATTTGAGGTCAGTAAGTTGTATCTGATGGTACCATAATTGTTTATCGATTTACAATTACAGTGTTTTCTGTGTTTGAGCTTTCTCTATTAGTGTGTGGCTGTGTTTGTGGGGGGGGGCTGCTCATATTTGTGGTTAAGTCTGGAGAGGCTGAAGTGTCAATTTTCTAACTTCTGCATGCTCTAACAGCAGCCTATAGCATCAGATGATAAATATATATTGGGTAAACAAAATGTGAACACGTCACGTCACGGTTCTCATTATGGTGACGCTGGAGCTGGCGGCTCGCAGATAACGGTGCCAGCAGCACTTACAGTACAGACTATGACAAATAAGCTGACAGAACTAACAGGGTTTACCTAAGGGGGAACCAGGGATGGTGTACCGCAGTGCATTTAGCAGTGCATGAGAGAGCGGCAACCGTGAGCTAGACAATGGGGCACACTCACACATAAATATGCACATACAACACGCGCGGCCAGTCCGTATGTCAACAAAGGAAGGAGAAGCTTGGAGAACAACACACAGAGAAGGAGAGCGACTTCTATCTCTGCTTAGGTAGACATCGCACCACTATATCTTTACATAGCAAATAGTTGTTTGCTGCTATATCAATGTTTTTTTTAATTTCATGCACCTTTAAAGGTACGAGTAATGCCTATAGCAACCTGCTCCAGGGGTAGCATTGCATCTCTACTACTGGGTTCACACAATCTAAATTTACAGTCAACAGCTATAATAATAAAAAAGAAAGAAAAATAAAAGTCCGTCAAAATTACCCTGCTGTCTTAAAATCTTCATGTGTGGTGTCGGCTTATAGTTTACATAAGCCATCTGCGTGTTTCCATATATGTGTGCTTTGTTAATCTGTTTATTGGAGTAAATTCAAAGTGGCAGATACAAGAAAACAACCAAACAATCTTTGGCTCATCCTTCCCCACCGGGGAGTAGAGCAGTCGGCACTAGGCAGCTCGAGGAGTCGGAACCCTAGTCAACGGCCACGGTGGTCCGTCACCTGGAGCTGCCGTCCGTTCTAATCCTGGTGAAGCAGCCCACCAGCAGTGGGGAGGACGAGGCTCATTTCCTCATTTCTACCACTTTGGATTAAAAAAAATAATTATCAAAATATACATGAACTACTGATATCTTATTGACAAGCCCTCTTGGCAGGTGTACTTCTTTGTTCTCTGGACTGAGGACAGACTGGTGCTACAGTGACGCAGTGCATAGACATTTTTGTTATAACGGCAACACTTAAACCTCTTCACATTCTGTTAATAATGTCCATTCATCTTATGAATACGATAAGATAAGATTAGTAGGCTATAGTTTGTCAAATAAAGTCAGAAAAAAGTCATATTATATTGTGTCAAAAAACTAAATTAAACTAAAATTAAAGAATGTTGAAAAAAATCATAAAAGGTAAAAATATAGAATCTTGAAGAAACGTCATAAAAATCATTTTATAGTTTGCCGAAAAAGATGTCATAGTATAGTGTGTCGCAAAAAATACACATTATAGTATGTTGAAAAAAATCAAAACACAGTATTTCAAAAAAAGTCACAAAAGTCACACTGTTAGCTTTGGACCTGCACAATAAGCAGTACATTGTTCTTTACATACATTAAGAGAGAGAGTAATCAACACGTGTGTTGGAAAAGGTCATAAAAAGACAAAGCATACTATTTCTACAACATCACAAAAAGTCATAGGATATTACATATATAGATATATATCCTATAAGTAATCTATCTCTCTAATAATAATTGTCCGATACAATTAAAGCAACGTTTCTCTTCAAACATATAGCAATTGCAATGTATGACATAGCACACAACTTCAAGGATTAAATAGTCGAATCATACATGTTTGTTAGTTGGCAGGAAAAATGCTAATGAATTCAAACCACACAACATTCATTTGAAAGCAATTATAACTCAATAAAAGGGCTCAAAGGGAAAGTCACATTTCACTGTGACATATTAAATGCTGGAAAGCAGTCTTTTATTGACTTTTAGATTATTCTTTTTAATTCGACCAAATCAAGAGCCATGCAAATGATGAAAACAGCATAAATACATACTCTGGAAGTATAGACTTGTTTTCAAATGTCAGTCTGAAAAGCCACACTTGCTTTCATCAGTCAGGCTACTAAAAAGTAGTTGAAATTACTTTCAGCCAATGGGGGAAATAAATTACTTAATTTAACCCATAACAGGTCTGATTCAGTTTTGATATAAAGTTTAGGATTTCAAACACCCTTTTAGTGAAAGAAAGTACAAAAATATGTTTTGGCCTCACAGCGTCCGTTGTAAGAAAACAATCAATGGAGGGACATCATACATTTTAAACACGACTGTTGATTGTAGGAGTTGCTTGGCTTCTTTTGTCAGGAAGGAGCGGAACCTTCTCATGTTGCTCAGCCAGAATCAGCCGGTTCTAGTTATCGTTAAGGAACCCACCTAGATTCTTGTCGGTTAGGGACAGGGCCACGACTCACTCTCCATGGTAATTGAAAGCTTCTCTGGTCTTCATGCAGGGATACGAGTGAGAACAGGAGTCTGCAATAAGAGAATAACCACAATTAAAACCTCAGTGTGAAAGAGCTCACCCTGATTTTATGATTTATTCAAATTCCCCCGTTAACACATTACGCTCTGTCCAAAGTATATAAGCATAATCGCACACAAGTGGCAAGTATTGATAAGAACTATGATGGAGAAAAGGCAACAAAGCTTTCTAATTAGAAATATTTTGTTAAACAAGGCTCGGAGCATTTCTGCTGTGGCCTGACTTGAGATCATTGTGAGGGGAGCACTTTGCAGTCGTATTCGTCGTGTTTGAAAGTCGTATTCTGGTATGTTGAAAAAAATCATTATAGATTAAATTAAATCAAAAAATCACAAAAGTTATAGAATAGTATGTAGAAAGAAAGTCATAGAATTTCATACAAATGTCAAAGTATGGTATTTTTTTTAAATCTCATAAAGTAATCATGGTATAGTACAGGGGTGTCCAACATACAGCCTGATGGCCATTTTTCTTCACATAGGTCAATGGAAAGTCAATGTG